GGCTCTTTCACACAGTGCTTTCACTATGGGCTTCCGGGCTGTTGCAACCTGGTACCGCTGCCTCCCAGCGCTCTGCTCCGGGACAGCGCTTCGGGTCGCTCCGGTGCTCAGACCCGCACCCTTCGTTTCCATCCTGGGCAGAAGAAACCTGAACGTGCAGACAGCAACTGAGGCGGTTAAGCTGAAGAGCATTGATGACTTACCGGGGCCCAGCCGGTCCACCAGTATGTACTGGTTGTTGGTCAAAGGATACGCGGAAAAGATGCACTTACTGCAGGTACTGGAAGAGAATTTAGTGGCTTAAAACAACAACAGCAACTTTTTTAACTGTTTGTACATTTGCGCTAAAGAGTAGAACAAGTGTGAGATGACCTTCAGCCGACAACAAAAACTGTTTCCACGGCTGCTGCTAGTGTTTGGAGAAAACGCATTCAGGGATGTTACTTTCTTTCAAACTTTTGAACGAACATTTTGGCTTTTTTGTTCACTTTTATTTCTATTGGCTCGATTTTGTATGAAGTCCAGCCAGAATGAAAAGAATTCGCAAACAGTTGCTGTCAGGGTGATCGAGTCATGCAAACTAAATGTGGGACAGAGAGAATGTTTGTGTGGAGGAATACTTTTAGGTCGTTTCATTTAAACATTTTACTTAGTTTAGATGTATGACCTAAAATTAAACAGGTTTGGTATTAAGTTTTTAGCTATAGAATAGTAATTATACAGTATAATCTGAAAACAGCTTCCCAAACTCCTTCTAAAAAAGCTTTTCAAAGTGTTAATCATATTAATTATTATTTAGATCAATCTATTTAAAAGTAGTGTGAGTAAAAACCTAAATCTAAAAAGTATTGAAATTAGTGATTGTAATTAAACAGATATTCATGTCCTAATTGTCTTTGTTATTGTAAAATAGACTTTTAAATAATTCAATTTTGTAGGGTTTACAGAAGCGTCTGTATGGGCCCATCTGGCGCTCCAAGTTTGGCCCTTTTGACATCGTCAATGTGGCGACTCCTGACCTCATTGGTCAGGTGATCCAGCAGGAAGGCCGCTACCCAGTCCGAGTTGAGATGCCCCACTGGAAGGAGTACAGGGAGCTGAGGGGCCAGGCCTACGGACTCCACGTAGAGTGAGTGTAGATGATGTCAAAAAAACTTTTATTCATGTGTCCGAAATTCCTAACAAACAGCCAAGGACCCAGAAAGGAACCCAGAGGAGCTCCTCTGACTTATAATAATCAAATGAAAATTTCAGATATACATTTTTCTCTGACAACATAGTATTTGTACATAGTATTTCATTCTAATATATAGAGTCTCTTATTATTATTACCTTATCCTGTTCCAGTTTTGCTGCTGTAATTTTGCACTGTCCACTTTCTGCTGTCCCATGTGTGGGACTAATAAAGGCTTATCTTATCTTATCTTATCTTATCTTATCTTATCTTATCTTATCTTATAAGCTATAAATAATTCTTAAATTTTTGGAAAACAAAAATTGGTAAAGTTAAGCCCATGTAACAACCTGGTGGATTGTGGAGGCATCCATTGGGTGCTTGTGAAGAATCTCTTTAAGCTAAAAAAAAATCTGATTTCATAAAAGAATACTGGCGTTCCTCAGGGGTCCTTCATAGTACAGGTATGTATATAAGAACATTTAACGAGAGAAAATGTATAAATATCTACTGCGGAGTAGTAAAGGAGTGCTGAAACTGAAACAGAAACTGGCCAAAAGTTTTTTTTTAACAGCCATAATTCTCTAATAAACTTCATCCATCAACTTTTTTTCTGTGTCGTGGGGGTAGCATCCTGTTCTTCTTTCTCGTCTCTGCTGATTGATACTGACTATAACATAAAAAATGATAAATTGTCCTTTGATTTTGGCAAAACCTGCTACTGGAGTTCCTCAGAGTTTTGTTACTGGTCCTTTTAAGTTTTTTCCCTTTTAATTTTACAGAACAGGACCAGAGTGGTACCGCATCCGCAGTGCCCTGAACCCCAAGATGCTGAAGCTACAGGAGGTATCGGTCTATGCCTCCACCATCCAGCAGGTGACTGGAGATCTGCTGCAACGCATTGAGCTCTTACGAGCTCGCAGTCAGGACCAAGCCACAGTTTTGGACGTGGCAGCTGAGCTCTACAAGTTTGGCTTTGAAGGTGAGAGGGACAGCAACTAATCCCAAAGGGGGTGTAGGTTAGGGTTTGCAACTCTTTTATTTATGTATTTATTAATATTTTATTTACAGGTATATCCTCCATCCTGTTTGAGACCAGACTGGGGTGCCTGCAGGAGGAGATTCCCCATGAGACTCTTCGCTTCATCAAGGCTCTTAACGACATGATGACGTTTGCTGACATGGTGCTTCTCTTCCCACGATGGACCCGCAACATCCTCCCCTTCTGGAAACGCTTTGTTCAGGCCTGGGATGACCTCTATGAAGTAGGTATGTAACAAAAAAAAAACACAAAAGGGAAGATTTCTGCTGTTTTGGGCTCACTTTAAGTTCATTTGTATCTTTTATGTGTTTGCATGGCAGCTCAGATGCTCATCGACAGAAGAATGGCTGAAGTTGAAGCTCAGGTGAGCAGGGGTGAGCCTATAGAGGCCATGTACCTGACCTACCTGCTGTCTTCTGGCAAACTGACCAAAGCGGAAGTCTACATTAGCGTTACAGAGCTGATGCTGGGAGGAGTCGACACGGTGAGGAAACAAAATGCTGTAGCATCATGCGTCTGTTCTTTATCCATTCGTTCACTATTTGTAGAAAGGAAATATTTTGGTTAACTGTCACAGTTTGAGCTGCTCCAAAATGCCTTTTATTTTTCCTTTTTATTCTGTAAACCAGCAGTTACTGACATCTTTTAAGATTAGTGGGTCAAAAAATGAGCAGAATTAGGGAGTGTGTTTCTGCTAACATAAATTAATACAGTGTAAGCACGTGATTAAACTTGTTTGAGAGGTATCGAATGGAGAATCAATATATTTTGATTGAGTGATCTTCT